ACTCTCCATTCAGGCTACCAGAGTGTAGCCTTAAACCTGCTTCACCTTCTGTCCCACCTTCTTCACCTTTGGTAACCTCAGTTCAGTTATCAATATCCACCCATTTATTTTTATTTTGCTTTCATTCATTGTCTGTGTTTCCTTATATTCCCCATTTATGTAAAATCATCCAATATTTATTTTTATCTTTCTGGCTAACTTTGCTTCATATAATCCCCTCAAGCTCCTTCTGTTTTGCTGAAAATGGGAGGAGTTCATTTTTCCTTAGAGGCCCACAGTATTTCATTGTGTATATATGCACCACATAGAATTTATTTTGGATAGTTTCAATTACTATGTGTTCATTAACATTTTTCCTACCTTGTTTATCCTCTTCATTATGTTTTACTTTTCATTTTGAAAAGTTTTCACAAGGTTTTTAAAACCGATGATTCTTCCCATGTCTCCGTTTAGCATTTTTGTGGTTTATTATACCTTCCTGAACTCCTGCAATATCATTATAATAGATGTTTTAATGTTGTTGTCTATGATTTTTAGCGTCTGCTCCATGAGTCCAATTTTATTGTTACGTTTCTCCTCTGATGGGTCACATTTTCCTGCTTCTTTACTTGTCTGGTAATTTTTTACTGGATTCCAGACATTGTAAATTTTGCCTTATTGGCTGCTAGATAGATTTATATACATTTAAATATTTTTTATTTCTGTTCTGGGGAACAATTAAATTACTTGGAAACAGATGATCCTGTCAAAGCTTGACTTTAAGGTGGGATTAGAACAGCCTTTAGCCAAGGACTAATTTGACCCCAATACTGAGGAATATCCTTTGGAGTTGTCTACCTGATACCTCATGAATTACAGGGTGTTTCAACGCTAACTCTGGCAGGTAGGAATACAAATTCTTCTCTGCTCCCGTGTGTGAGCCTCAAGGGCTCTTTCATCTAAATTCTTCCTGCTGATTCCTTTTCTGGCCTCAGGCAGATCTCAGCAGTGGGTCTGGGCACCGAGAGACTCCCCAAAACCTCTTCAGATCCCCAAAGTCCTCCATCTCTCCAGACCCCTCCTCTCTGGGAAGCAATGTTATTGCTGGCTGTTGTCTCTGTAAATTGGAGCCACCTTGGGCTGCCCAAACTCTCAACTCTGTCTTTTCACTTCAGGGAGCCTTCTGGGTACTGTTTGGATTCCCCTCCCTACATACCCACCTGAAAACTCTCCCAGGCACTAGGATGGGAAATCCTAGGCTCACCTCATTTCTCTTCTCTCACTGATCATTCTCCTGTACCGCCTATTGTCCAGCGTCTGAAAAATCATCATTGTGCATATTTTGTGGTGTTTTTTTTTTATTATTTTATTTATTTATACAAGCACTGGGTACAGTCAGAAGCGCGGGAGAGTGAGAGAACCCACCAGAGCCAGAGCAGGGAGCAGAACAGGCAGAAGGACCGAGGTACACTGCTGGGGGAAGCAGCGGGCGGCAGGAGAGGTCTGCATGCCATGTGGGACCCTTGCCCGGTGGCCGGAGATCGAACCGGCGCTGCAGAGGCTCAACCGGCGCAACCCAGTGCTCAACTGCTGCGCCATCGGGGAGGCCCCATTTTGTGTTTATTTTTTAAAGACAGCAGAGTAAGTCCTCTTCTTCATAGTTAATCACAGCCAAAAATAGATGTCCTGACATACTTTCCAGATTTTTTAAAAAATTATTTATTTATTTATGCATACAAGAACTGGAGTGTAGGCCAGAGGTGCGGGGGTGGGGTGAGAGGATTCATCAGAGAGAGTGGGGACCAGAACAGGCAGATCTACTGAAATACACTGCTGAGGGGAGCAGCAGGAGAGGCAAGAGAGCTCTGCTGTGCCATGTGGGTTGCCCTGGGCCGGGGATCGAACTCCTGCTGCAGTGGCTGGCCACAGCTTGATAGCACTGTCTTTAACCCCTGCGCCACTAGGGAGGCCCTTTTCCAGATATTGATGCTTTGAGGAATATAAAAACTTGGAAGTGGCTTTTCCAGAGAATGTTTCATAAGGTGGTATGGTAATTCATGTGAGAGTCCTTTTTTATTCAGATACCCACTTGCAAATTGAGGTAAATTCTTAGAAGCCAATGTGTTGATTTTTAACATTTCTTCTGTCTGGAGGGTTCTATTCTGTTTGAACTCTCACTCCATGCTACAACAGCTTGGATTTTGCTCACATTTTGTGGCATGAAATCACTCTTGCTCAGCTGGACTGATTGCCAGTCCATTGCTTGGATCATTGCCTGGTGCAATTTCACTGTAAATAAAGTTAAAATACTGGTTTCACACCTGGTTATTTTGGCTATTATAATGTGAACAGATACAATCTGCTGCTGGCTAAGTTTATTGATGGCCACTATTCATTATAAAATGTCAGTATGGTCATGCTTTATAGAGAAGACCTAGTATGCATAATTGAATTTTTTTGGCATTGTAAAACTGAAACACATCTGCAGCTCACAGCTGGCAACTTCTCTGGTTAATCTAGGCATAAGTACAGCTGGACCAGAGAATGAGCATCCCAAAAGAAAAAATCCAAAACAAACAAAACCCCTAAAATATAACTAGAACCAAAAGTGAATATAGACATTCCAGCTCCTTTATTTTCCCAACATCTCCTTGAGTTAAGTGGCAAAATGGGCCACTATGGCCCATACTCCAAATAATATTTAGTATGTTATATCTTAAACACTACAAGAATAAATAAGCACCTATAATTATAAAGAAAGAGTGTTTTAGAATATTAAGTGATCTAAGTTTGTAGTTACTTTTCTTGGAATTGCCTCTCGCCCCTTGACACTTTAACCAACTTGGGTCATAGGACTTGGCATACTCAGCATTTGAAGGTCATGGTTATCCAGACAAAAAAAGAGGAAAGGAAAATTTTCCCCAGATTTTGAATTTCAAATGTCTAGATCTCTTAGGTGATGGAAAGAAAAACAGTAAAAATTTTCAATTCTCATGCTAGAAAAATTCCCCCAGAGTTGAAGAAATGAGAACTCTGAGAAAACATTGTGAGTAGCTATTTGGGCTCCTGAGAAAGGGGCATTGCATCTGGCCATACCACATGCTAAATCCAGGGAGCAGAGCAAGATAGACAGGCCAGGGTGGGGAATGTGTGTGCAAAGAAGCCCCGTGTGCCTTCTCTGTGAGAACCTGGAGGGGTGACAAGAACCAGGAGTAGAAATGTCTAGCTAGTGCTTCCAGACAGACAGGTACAGGTTCAGAGCATGGAATTCCTTTTCTCCCCAACAGGGCGCAGATGCTTCAGAACAATTCTTGCATGTCTGAGAGCAGCTTCAGTGGACTATATTCACAGGCTTCCCAGTGGAAGTTGACCAGGAATGAATCAGACCGTGGATCCCAGCTGACATAAAGTGAGACATTTCAGAAATGGATGATATCCAGAGCACCAGGCTCTGTTGAGGAGGTGGGAAAAACATGCCCTAGGAAAAGTCTCCAAAACTTAAACACAACCCTGGAGAGAGAGGAAACCCTGAATTAACAGAGAAACTGTTCTGCTACCCCTCAGAATAGGGGAATTAGAAAAAGTAATTTAAAAAACAGGCCATATCATAGCTACTTTTCTTACAGGCCTGAGTTTGAAGATTAAGATTTAAAGATTTATTTATTTATGCATACAAAAACTGGGATACAGGCCAGAGGTGTGTGTGGGGGGAGGGGTGAGAGGATTCACCAGAGACAGAGTGGGGAGTGGAACAGGTGGATTTACTGAAATACACTGCTGAGGGGCGCAACATGCGAGACAGGAGAGGTCTGCTGTGCCATATGTGAGTTAGCCCCCTGGCCTGGGATTGAACTCAGGCCACAGCAGTGATAGCGCTGAGACTTAACCCGTTAGCCCATGTTCATGGACCAAAGCAAATTGTGGTCAAGTCCAAAGCAAGAGGTGCAAAAGCACACTCTGCTCCAGATGGAACTGAGTGCTGTGGGTTCAGGTCAGGGAGGATTGAGGCCATCATTCAAAGGACCACAGATGAGACTGAACATTTTTTTTGAATGTTGAATAGTAGTCAGACTCTTTGCTAGAGGGCTTACGTGCTCAGCACCTAAGGTTCTCTAAAGTGTTACACAGTTTGCAGTATTTTACCTTGTTCACTTTCGCGTATGAGGAAACTGAGGCTCACAGAAGCAAAGAAACTGGCCACTATCATAAATTTGAGAGTGAATTGAGATTCCAACCCATACCTGTTAGAAAACAGAGGCTGGGCTTCGGAGCAACTCTGCCTTGTCCAGATCGCAGTTCTCTTGATGTTCAATCAGGCCCGCCTTGCTCCTGAATGACCTTGAGTCTAGACAATGGCCTAAATCCACGGTTCTTTCTTTTGCTTCTTTCATCCCTCTTTCCCTTTTTGGCTTGTTAATCAATTCACTTACTTTTCCTTGACTCTTATTAGTAGGGAGCGCCATGATTGATAGCATCTGGAAAACATTTATCCAAGTCTGGAGTGGAAAGATTCACAGAATAGGACATGGAAAGGAGCCCCTCAAGAGGGGCTATGCGGGGAAAGTGATAAATTACCAGCTCTTGGATTATCTGCCAGGAGCTCTCCCTGCAGGTTTGGGAGTAGCGCCCTCCCTGCTGCAGCACCAGCTGTGTTATTTACCACATGTTCAGTAGAGCATGTGCCCTCTGAACAAAGCGGGGAGGGCCGAACCCCTAAGTTTGCATAAACTCACTTTCAACAGAATCTGTTCTTCTCCAATTGTCTCAATGCCTTCTCCCTGGAAAGTCATGCTTCATACTTTCAGAAGCCTGGCTCCCAACAGCTGGAGGTAAAACTCCCAGTATAATGGAAGAAAACATGTTGATACTTTTAATTGGTCCCTGAAGTGAAATGCAAGGAACGATTTATTGGTTGATAGATTTGAGGCTTCCAATTAAGCGGAGCTGGGAAGCATATGGTAAAGATAAACACATTAGAAATTTGTGGCTAATTATTAGAAAATTAATTTTATTTCATTCAGGATATGATAAGCAAGTGGAAACCACTTTAATTTATTGCTATGAAGTTAATGATGCATCTCCTTATAGGGTGGCATGACCACCTGCATCTGAGCCATGCTTTCTACCTGTCTTAGATGCCATCAGTGTGCTGAGCTCACAGGGTGAGGTAAGCGAAGCTTCTATTCCCAGTCACACAGCTACATTGCTCCAATGGGTAACATCTGGCGAGGCTCAGGCACTCTGCTTGCATTGAGAGGCTGTCCATCAAAGGCAGACGAGAACTTCAAATACTACACACCTGTAGTGTTAGTCAACAATTGTTGTAATAACACTGCATAAAAATCAATCCCCAAATCTCAGTGGCTTGTAACAACAAACACAGTGAGTACTCATACGTATTTCTCACTTGTGAATATGCAAGTCTGTTTCTTGCTCCCAAGACTGGAGGTCTATTGGGCACAGCTCTGCTTCAGGTTGAAGGTCAGGTTCACGTCAATTCCTTTAATCATTCTTTTTGGGATCCAGTATCCATGAGCCGTAGATACCTGAATATGCTCTTCCTGTGACAAAATGCAGAGTACAACAAGATTGGAGGAAACGTGTGTTTATAAAACTTTGGCTTGGAATAGTACATCATCACCTTTTCTCATATTCCTTTGGCCAAAGCAACTGACATGTGAACTAGGGAGATATACCTCACCCCAAGGGAGGGGACAGTGCATATCTGTTCAAAAACAATTCAATAAAACATATTTTTATTCTCATTTTAATGGAATATAACCTTTGTTGTCCTCTTTCTTTCCATTTTCAGGCAATTGAGAACACCCTAGTAGATGTCTACACATTTGAGGTAACTTAGAGAGAAACAAATATGATCATGAATTTGCAAACATTCTTGTAAATCATGAAATATCATGCAAAATTATTAACTACCTATTATGAGTATCAACTATGGATGCTAAGTGCTAAGATGCTAAGTGTTGAGAATAAATGATTCATGCAAGTTATTCTGACTCCAAAGCCTGCTGTCTACACTGTATAATGATTAAAAATATGGCTGTAAATAATACAAATCCTTATGGTCATGACCTTATAACTATCTTCTTAGAGGTCTATTCACCTTAACAAATATTTATTAATATTTACTATGTTGTAAAGTATTGGGCAAGGCATTTTGGGAGATTGTTACAGGATTACCTAGAGAGGGGTGAGGAAGGATATACAGATGAATCATATATGATTTCTGTTTTTTGGAAATTTGAACCTAGAGTAGAAATAAAATAATGAGAAATAAAATAAAATAATGAGAAACTGACTCTTCCCTCCATCCTTTCCTTCTATACTATGAGGAGTCGGCAGGATAGTCACCCCCAAATCATGAGCTCCTTGAATGATGGGAAAGCTAGAATTCTTTTTTTTTAAGATGTATTTATGCATACAAGAATTGGGGTACAGGCAGAGATGGGGGTGAGAGGATTCACCAGAGAGTTATAGGGCAGTTTCCCCCTAACACCAGCAGGGTGTTTTCTCAGCAATCAGCAGGTATTTTTTTTTATTTTATTGATTAATTTTCTTTCTCTCATCATTGTAGTCCCCACAGTTCTCCACCATCATGTCACCCGCCAACTAGCACCACATTCCCTTGTATTTGTTTCTGATGCCACTATCAACCTCGAATTTTATTAGGAATGTAACAATCAATTTTCCAAGTTCCGAGAAATGCAGGTAGAGGTAGTTAATGGTTGGAGGAGGGGATGGAGGGAAGAGAGAACATGGTGATTAGAGTTTAATAGTTATCCCTAATTTTTAGTCCAGGGGAGTTATTTTATTGGAAAGTGGAGGGGACCCAGCAACAGGACGACCAGAGGACTGTCCATTAGTGTTTAACACTCCTGACCTCTCTGTTCCACAGAGGGCAATGACTGGCATGATCCGTGTTTTTGGAGAGGAAACGCACTGGACAGCACTGGCGACGGCCATGCACTAACCAGGACTAATTCAATAAACAAATAAAGACAATCAAGCAATTATCTTGTTTTCTGGCTTTCTTTGTATTTCAACAATTATCAGAAGCTCTCTTGGATAAAGGAAAGTTCTTCTCTATTGCATTGACAACACCACACCAACAAATGGGAGTCGTAAGGGGAGCTGGACAATGCAGGATGATGTTAAAGAGCCAGATCTGGGCCTGTTTATTCTTAGAATAATCATACAGCATCGTTGTGTAGGGAAGGACAAAGAGAAAAAGGAGGGTGAAACTAGATGATGTGCTCTGTCATCCATAGTTTCAGGGGTCATGAGCCTGTCCCCCAGGTACTTCTCATCTGTTGATGACTCAGTATTGTGGTTAATACTTGTGTCTATGCAAGTGCACTTTACTTTTCTGTCCCTTTTCCTAATAAACCTGCCCTTAAAAAAAAAATCAAGCCCTAGACCCCCAGCCATGGTTTCACTCTTATCAAAGTGTTAGTTCCACTGAGCAGCTTCTGGGGTCCCTTGTTATACCTCAATCAATGGCCCTCCAGGCGTTCCCTGTCATACCTCATGAAGCATACGCTTCCCAGGGTGATCAAGCTTTCTGCTCTTGATTGATTTGAAAGGCACCTTGTAGGGTTGGGCTCCTGTGACTGATTGACCAGGCAGTTCTGACCTCGTGCAGGAATGCAGAACCATAGGTAACGAAAATGGTGGCTGAACAGGATTAGCAGTCCAGGGCCTCCTTGGTGGTGGAAGGGGTTAAGTGTCAGCACTATGAAGCTATTCACAGGCACTGCAGCACCAGTTCAATCCCTGGCCAGGGAGGTGACCCACATGGCACAGCAGACCTTTTTTGCCTGCCACTCCCCTCAGCAGTGCATTTCAGTCGGTCTGCCTGTTCTGTTCCCCACTCTGTCTCTGGTGAATCCTCTCACCCCCCACCTCTGGCCTGTACCCCAGTTCTTGTATGCATAAATAAATAAATCTTTGAAAAAAGGATTAGCAGACCCACATTTACACTTCTCTACAGTAAATACAAACAAAGGGATAGAATTAGAAAGTCATCATTTTTTTTTTTTAAGATTTATTTATTTATTTACACAAGCACTGGGTATAGTCAGAAGCGCAGGACGGTGAGAGAATTCACCAGAGTCAGAGCAGGGAACAAAACAGGCAGACAGATGAAGTACACTGCTGAGGGGAGCAGTGGGGAGCAGTGGGCGCGGCAGGAGAGGTCTGTGCGCCATGGGGGACCCTCACCGGTGGCTGGGGATCGAACTGGCGCTGCAGAGGCTGCGGGCAGCTTTGCAGCCCAGCGCTTAACCACTGCACCACTGGGGAGGCCCTAGAAAGCCATCATTTTATAAGCCCAAGAAAATACAGTTTCAATGGAAGCAATCAGTCATTTCACAGGGCTGTCCAACCATGCTCCCCAGAGCAGCTGCGTGAACTTCAGATGGGAATTTGTTAGAAATGAAAAGTTTGGTTTCTAGCCTGAACCTACTAAAAGTTAAAAGTGGGGGGTGGAGACCACCAATCTCACAGACATTCCAGGTATCCTGATGGACTTTAGAGTTTGAGAACTGGCTCATATTATTTCATACTGCAGAAAAGTCAAGGAGGATTAGAGTTCATCCAACACCATCAAAGTTTTCTAACCAAACCCTTGTTTTTAGTTTAGTCATATGCTGGCCAGAGTGGAGGCCTGGAGGTGCTGGGGCTACTTTATATTTTGGAGGTTTGATAATGTTATTATGACTCTTCTTCCATTGACTCTTGACTCCTCAGTAAGACTGTCAAAAACAAGTGTAGAAAGGTCAAAAGTTTTTTCAATCCAGGTGGTGACTTGCACTGTTAAATAGTAATTTTGATTTCTAAAGTCTCCCTGAGGAAATGGAGCGAATTGAATTAATCGAGTTTTCTAGAATGATCCCTCTATAGCCATATAGACCTGGCTGCTGTCATTTTGAATTTCTGAGCTTTTATTTTTGTCAAGAATATTGGATAACAGGGGCTTCCCTGGTGGTGCAAGAGATTAAGTGTCAGCACTATGAAGCTATCCGCAGTTACTGCAGCACCCTGGCCAGGGAGGTGACCCACATGGCGCAGCAGACCTCGCCTGTCTCACCTGCTGCTCCCCCAGCAGTGTATTTCAGTACATCTGCCTGTTCTGTTCCCCGCTCTGTCTCTGGTGAATCCTCTCACCCCCCACACCTCTGGCCTGTACCCCAGTTCTTGTATGCATAAATAAACCTTTAAAAAAACAATATTGGATAACATATTCTTGAATTTAACAGCAATTTGTATTCCTCTTAGCAACATGAACTACATAGTATAGAAATATTGTCCAACAATTAATGCTTTGCTTTGAGGTTTCCATTTGGCTGTGATGAGGTGTACAGGTATTCTTCATTTGTATACACTCCTGGCATTCCCTTTGTAGCAAGTCAAATACTAGTTGCCATCAGGTATAAAAAGTAATGATTTTGATGATCAGGCTACTGTGAAGAAAATACTATTCCTTTTTGGAGTTATTGTCCTCCAATAATTCCTGCTTCTGTTATAGTTCTTTACGCTCAGTGGTCTTAAGGTAGCAAAATCTTCAGAATGCCCATAACCTGAACTTTTTAGTCCATAGAATGTAAATTCTGATGACATAGGAATGTAATGCTTGTCTATACCACTTTTTTCCCAAGCTGTTCTGAGAGCCCCCAATGTTGTCTCACCTGTGAGTTACAAACCTTGTCCTCTTGTGCTCGGTCACTTACTTGTCTCTTCAGTTCTATTCCAGGTCTACATGGTGATGTCTCTGGATAGAGTCAGTCTCAAAGCAGCAAAGAGCATGGTGCCTGCTAAGGAGGGATGATGTCAAAACAACTGCCACTAACCTTTGCCCTCCATACCAATGCTGCCAAGGGACCTTGCTGACCAGGTTGTTAAGGATCACACTTCCCACTGCTACTCGGTACCCCCAGTGCTTGGTACTTGTACTCCATGGTGACTGAGTTATTGAGTTATCTCTTTGTAGTTTCTACTGCACCTCCATTATCACCCTCCTGCCGTAAGCAATCAGTATGGACCCAGGCTGGTCAATTATCAGTGACAGATTTAATCCTCATGATCTTGACTTCTCATATTCTGGCAAGTTGCCTTTGATCCAAACTCATGTGCTCAGATCTCATATTTTGGGATAAAATTCTGAAGACCCAATTTACCTGTCATACAGAATGCCCAGATGTCCTGAATGCTAGGACAAACACAGTGGAAGGGCCACATATAGAGTTTTACCCCTGAGTTAGATAAAATTGGAGGGTAATATGATCAGTTAAATTAAAAAAACAATAGTGTATCTGACTCCTTGGCAGCCATCTAAGCAAAAAAGGAAAAAAGTGCACTTTAAGTGCAAGGGAGGGGAGTAGCAGTGAAGTCCTATCATCTGTAGCAATATGTCTTCATTAATCTGTGGGTTCAACAGAAATTTATTAAACACTTACACAGTTCGAGACCAAGGGTTGCAAATAGATCCCATCTTGTTTGCCAACTCTGATCAATTGGCACTTACTGTCTGTAGCAGTCTGCATCTACAAGTGGGCTCAGCAGGAAAGTGTCATGAGTGATTAGCCATGTCAGCTATGGAGGAAGGAACAGGTATTAGTAGCAGCAAATACACCAGGTATTTACGAACCCTTTTCCAGTTCTGGAGGTACAACAATAAACAAGATACATGCATATTTTTTAAGTAGCTGAAATGCCCTGGCAACAAGAACTCATAGTATTATTATTATTATTATTATTATTATTATTATGCTTATATTCCCTTTCCCAAGATGTCCTCAGTTATTCAAGCCCCCACTGTCCATCTTGATGTGTACTTGTGTTTGTCTCCTCCTGATTTCATGTTTTCATCTGGATCTGCTGTCTCTGCAGGCTGCCATAGCCTCCCTCCTTCTGGTTGTGCACAAGACTAGTTCACCTCTTGCTCAGAGGAATTGGAAATGACATTGTAAAGAAAGATTGCCCCCTAACTCAAGAAAAGTCTGTCCTGGAACAATCTCAGGAAGTTCAGCTCCCTCCAGAATGATACAAGTTGACATCCTAATTAAAGTAACCACAGAGGAGAGTCAGAGAGGGAAGGAAAAAAAGAGATTCACATTTCAAGCAGCTACAGAAAACCCCCCAGTTGACTTGCATGCAGATGAAAGAGACCTTGCCCGAAGCTAATTACCGATGGCATTAATTCTGGATGTGAGACAAAGGATGCACCTTTGAAAAAAATGCTCCAAGACAGTCAACTGAAGCTGATTAGTAAAAAGCAAAGGAACTGGGGAGGGTCAGGGAGTGTGTGCAGTGAGTTGTGATTCACGATGTCTTGTCTAGTTTCCCAAAGAAATTGCCAGCCTGTGAATTCTATAAAAATCGATTAGTCATTTGGAGCCAGATGCATCCTTTATTAAACCAGGTCCTTCCTTATTGAATATAATGATTATAACCAGAAATAAGGAAATAATACTTGCAATGATCCATCATTATCTCCATATACTTTTCTGCTAATGAGGCAAAAATACTTTTTATTCAATAGGTATTGAGATAATCAAATGTAAAACCAAAGTGTCTCTTCAATTTCCTGATACAATTAATGGATAAATACAATGTTCATTAAGAAGCAAGCCTCTCCTTCACCTTCACAATGTAATGGAAGCATCTGGGCTGCTTTCTCTTTGGTTTTTAATAAGGGAAAAAGATCACCCTGCCTCTGTGGATGGCAAAGTTCCATGGTGCGCATGCCGGGCTTTATAAGAAAATGCCTTTGTTCAAGAATGTGTGTTCTGTATTATGTCACTGTGGAACCAAGCATAAGTATTCTTAGCCATTGCTTTGTGTAACTGCCATTTTAGAATTTTAGGTTTTGCTGGGAAAAGACTGCATTCCAGAGATAGTTTGGACCCTCACTCCACCCTTACTCTCCGGTCGCCAATGAGGGCGAACTTGCTGTCATTGGAGCTGCAGGTTGGAGCTGTATCTTGGCCTGGCCAGTCAGCTTAGAATGATAGCCGGGCCAAGTTGGAGAACGCATCCTTGTAGCCAATGAGTAACTGCCAGCATGATTTAACCCTATAAAAGACCCCTGCTTCCTTTGTTCGGGGCTTACGGTATCTGCCACTGCGTTGGTAGGTGCCGTGAACCCAGACTCAAGTCTGAAATAAACTCCCTTTTGTGTTTGCATCAGCTGTCTTTGGGTTCTTGGAGGCTATGCTCGCCGAGTCTGCTGACATTGGGCACAACAGTCACTCCACTCTCTCTTCAGTGATAACTTACTGTTTTGCTTTTCTATTTCTCTTTCCTTTATTCCTGGGACAGCAATCCTGCCAGCTTTTCTGGGAACTGTCCTTTTTCTTTTAGATTTCCAGTTGAAGGTCCATACTTGGACCTGGTTCTGCTCCTCCATTACATAGGGAGGGAAGCCCCAGAGCTGGAAAGGGTCTCAGTCCCTTCCCTGATACTTGAACACTTGGAAACTGAGAGATGCAGGCTGCCTCTTCTTACAGCATGAAGTTCTTGGCAGTCACGCTTCCCACCGGGTGATGTAGCAAAGCAGAGATAACAAATGTGCAGAAAGAGGCATGTGGAGGGAGCTTGAGCTCAAAGTCCTGATGCATCCAATGTTTTGCATAAGCTTAGGAGTAACCATTCCTGTGGTCAGAACACTGAATTCTAGTGTGAGATGCTTCCACGCTCCTCCTGTTAATTTCTCATTGATCAATTTAGTTGAATTTGAATATTGCTTCCAAGGAATCCAGATTGCTAAGCATTCTTACAGTTGACCTGGAATCAGTAAGGCTGAACATTTGGGACGATTTCTTCTATCCAGTGGGTACACATGAGTCATTGGGAAGACTTTAAGGAATGTTGGCAATTGGGCACTGGCCCCCAGGGATAGTTAGGAATGGGTAAGGAAGCCAGAGCAAATTTTATACCAATTTGCATGACAATTGGGATTCAAAAGACCAAAGTGTAGGCCCTACCCATTTCAGGATTAATAGGAAACCCCTATTCCTGGATTTACCCAGCCAAGGAGTCAGATCACAAACTTCTTGCCTCTTATCTTTCCCTAATTACTTGCTGTCTGTGCCTGCCTCTGAATTTGATATCATTCACAACCAGATCCCTGGTTGACTTTCATCTCCTTGGTGAATTCCCCCCAGTTTTCATGTCATGATGTTCATCCACAGCCAGCTGACTTTTGTTCCAGAACTGCCCTTATTAAAGTGTCCACTAGCTATATGGGTTTACTTGAATTTATCTTATAAATTAATTTTTTTTAATTGAAAATGCAGCTACTCAACCAAATTTCAAGTACTAAATAGCCATGTATGTCTAGAAGCTATGTATCAGATTGGGGCATTTTTATCACAGCAGAAAATTCTTTTAGACATCTCTGTCTCATCAGGTAGTCTTTGCTTGACCAGGCTACTTTTTTTTTTTTAAAGATTTATTTATACATTCATTCATTCATTCATTCATTCATTCATTTATACATACAAGCACTGGGTACAGTCAGAAGCGCGGGAGGGTGAGAGAATTCACCAGAGCCAGAGCGGGGAGCAGAGCAGGCAGAAGGACCGAAGGACACTGCTGAGGGGAGCAGCGGGCGGCAGGAGAGGTCTGCGCGCCATGTGGGACCCTCCTCCGATGGCCGGGGAGCAGCCGAGGATCAAACCAGTGCCTCAGAGGCCGCGGGCAGCTTCACAACCCAGCACTCAACCACTGCGCCACCGGGGAGGCCTGACCAGGCTACTCTTGGTTGCCTTCACGCCAACTACTGAGAGAAGATGCAGGAGAAAATGAAAAGTTGTTAGCAGGCAGAATGGGGAGCAGCCCGGGACACCCAAGCCTGCCCGCTCTAAATGGATTCTGCCAACCATTGCATTAAGACAAAACATACTCTCAGTGCATAGGACCTTCTATAGAAAAGAACTTTAATACACTGTGCAATAGAAAGAAGAGAAAGAACATAGTTAAAATAGTTTCCCTATGAAACACCCAAAGTTACCCATACCTTTGTGGTTTAAATGCCCAGACAAACAGGGTTGTTGGCCCAAAGCAGGTCCACCGAGGCCCAAATGGTGGTGCAGTGGTTGAGCGCTGGGTTGCGAGGCTGCCCGCAGCCTCTGTAGCGCCAGTTCGATCCCCGGCCACCGACGAGGGTCCCCACCCCCCAAAAAAAGTACAAGTCAAGATGAAGGTGCTCTGGTCAGCTTCCTCATGGGTCTCTCACCCACATCTGTTTCAAGCATCTCCTTCCATGCCCCCAGGTCGCTGGTACAAGTCCCAGGCTGAGAGGCAAGCGCCACTTCTTCACATGTCTTTCTGCAACATGTGCCTCCTCCAGTCCTCTTGATCCTTCATCTTCTAGTCTTCTTCATCCTCCTTCCCTGCTCAGCTCCACCCTTCAATAAGTGGGGCAGGGAACATGGAACCTCCCCTTTCTATGGAGATCAGAGCCAGACAATCCCTCTTCTCTTCTAGGGACAGCAAATAAGCTACCAACACCTGGATGCCTCCACTGTCTTCTCTTTAATCTCTAGGTAAGCCCTTTCCCCCACTGAACCAAGACTTGGTTTTTGCAATCTTTCTGAGCATTATACTCCTGGAAACTTACAGCAAACATCATCAGGGCAGGTATTTGATATAAATCATTTAGAGCCCATGTCTAGTCCAATATTCGATGGCTAGAGCTAGGCTTTCTGATTAGCATGTTGGTAGGCAAGAAAGTTATAGAATTAAACTGCTGAGATCCAAATCTGTTTCATCCTTAAATTTCTGTGTGGTCTTGAACTTCTGTTTTTGAGCTCCTGTTTCCTCATTTATGAACTGGGAATTTTAGTAATGGTGCCGTTCTCTTAGAGTTGTGTATGTGTATATATGTGGGGGTGTGTGATAGTTTGTGTAACATTTCTGGCACACAATAAACACCGAATAAGTGATAGTTATTATTATTACCTGTGTGACACATAGGGACCCATTTGTTAATCTTATAATATAGATGAAATAGAAAATCAAAGAGGTTAGACCATATGTCGAGGTCACATAGTCAGAGTAGGCGTCTTAAGTATTTTCACATTAAATCCAGCACCTTTTCCACTGTAACATGTTCTCCAAGTAATTCCTGCTTCTTTAGATACTTTAAAATTATTTTTCACTCTTCCAATGCAGGGTGGCAATAAATTTATGTATTTGTATACTTTCGATAGCCCTTTGACACAAGTGACAAAGATCCTGACAGACTTATTGATTGTGAACCTGACTTGTCAGGACCTTCTTGCCTGAGTCAGCTTCTTCCACAGTTTGTCCATCAACTAGTTAGAAATGAACATTAAGGTCTACATCACAGTCGACTGTCTTCATTACTTCCCAAGTCCATAAAAGTTGTGACTTCTAAGTAGAACTAATGATATTGTTGATATTTTAAAATTTCTGACTTACGAAAATGGCACTTACTAACCTAATAATTACTGTCATCTCATAAAGGAGGAAGACAGTTTCAGTGAATGTCAATGATTTGCCCAAACACATACAGCTAATAGGTTGTTGAACTGAGACTTAAATCAGCCTGACTAGGTTAACCATGACATGTGACTCCTGGGGGCTAGTCACCCTTTGGGGAGAAACTGTAAGGGAGCTACAAGAAGGGATGGAATGGCCAGTCTCAGTGGAAGAAAATAGCCCTTTCTTAGATGATCTCTCCCATCACTGTAAAAACAATTCAGACATCATACCTGACAGTCTATTGGCTGGGAATGTCATTTTAAAAAAGCTACATATTTTTTAAAGATTTATTTATTTATGCATACAAGAGCTGGGGTACAGGCCAGAGGTGTGGAGGGTGAGAGGATTCACTAGAGACAGAGTGGGGAACAGAACAGGCAGATTGACCAAAGTACACTGCTGAGAGCAGCAGTGTGTGAGACAGGAGAGGTCTGCTGTGCCATGTGGGTTGCTCCCTGGCCAGGGATCGAACTTGTGCTGCAGAGCCTGCAGGTAACTTCATAGGTTGCATCTTAACCCCTTGTGCCACCAGGGAGGCCCCTTAAAAAAAGCTATATTTTAAGTCACTTACTAATTACTTGCTATTGCAGAATTAACAGAGCAGCTGAAAGTTCTCCCTTATTAGCATTTTGCTCCCAATTTTGTAACCCAATTGTAGGGTAAAGAAAATGTCAGGCTTTTCTGCCCTTCCGCCATCAGGATAGATGATGGATCCTTGTCCTGAATGCATGCCTGATGGTGGGCACCTGGAATAGGGTGTGGGCATAGGTAGATGGGATTCAGCTGAGCTAAGACTGTGCTTTTAAGGGCGGCGTCACGGGGGGACGCCAGCAGCAGCAGCACCAGCACCAGCAGCAGCAGCCGCCGAAGCCGAAGCCGAAGCCGAAGCCGAGAAGCAGCAGAACGAACGCTAGAGAGCCCAGATAGAGTGAGGACTTGCTGGGGGCTGGGAGGCCTGCCAGCCTCCCAGCCCCCCAGCCAGCACCCCTGCCTGTCATATGCCTGGTGAACCCCAAATAAAAAACCTGCAAAACTACTGAGAACTCTGACTCCTCCTTTACCCGATCTGCATGGGATCAGAAAACCTGCACTGTGCCCGTTCCTGCCCTCTACACCAATGCATCTATGCTTCCTGAAATTTCCTTCTGTCATTTCTACTTTGTAACGAGTAGGAAGGCTGTTTAAAGGATTTTTCTCCTTAAGATGAATCGTTGATTTATCTTTTTAAAAATGCAGCTTTCTCCAAGAGGATATTTTTGCGAGTATGAGTGCTTTCTAAAACTGAGTATCATCAATCATCTTTTCTTTGTCCAGAAAGTTAAAGTAGATAATTTTCCCAGCAATGGGATATCCTTACCTCGCTGAATGATGAGAGTGGTTTCTGTGCTAAATATGCCTCCCCTCTCCCCTCAGCTGGCTGCAGGCAGAAAGGTCATTCTTTGTGTTACAAATTGTGTCAACAGGGTAAAACAACTCATTTACATTTTTTTCATGAGCAAGTTATCATTATTCTTCTATGATACCAAACACCTGGATTAGTTGATAATTTTTTTTCAGAGATGGGTCGATACTTTTTTTGTTTTCAAGAAAGGGCCCTTTGCATATTTTCCCGGAAATTAAACCAGCAAACCTATTTCAACATAGACTGTGGAAGGAGAAAGGGATCTTGTGAAACAACCAGGTGGGGTTTGTAAATGTTAGTGAGCTGTTAGCACGCTTCCTTTCCACTGAAGGTCACATTACAATATCTGAGGCTGTGATATACATACAATCAGGGCATTTAGAAATAAGCAAACAATGTTAGAACAAGATGTCAAGATCTCTCACTCAAGCCTCCATTCTTGCCTCTGTCTCTTGCTCTAGGCACTATTTTGTAGGATGTAAGTTTTACATATATATAAATCTATTTTGTGCTTGAGAAACTGTTTTGTGGCGAGGACTATCGTTGATTTTATGAGGCTAGGCTGATTGCTGCTCTGCTGTGTTCAGAATCAATTCAGGATCAATTTTCTCAGACATGAAGTGTGGGCAGATGAGATTGCTATCTTCCCAAGCTGATGTGCCTCAGGACAGCTGATGGCTCCCCCCACGCCCCCAACAAACAGAGACTATTAATATTTTAACGAATTACCTTAGGGACACTGTGGGGGAAAAAAAAAACAAAAACAACAGGAAGAGCACTAGCTTTCCTCTGGGCCCCAGAAACAAGGATCATTTTCATCTATTGTCAGTCCTGCTCCCTGGAGTGTTTCCCTTGTTAAAGTTCTGCAGTGTCATCTTTGGCGATTTTGGCACTTAAGTGCTGAGAGAGTAGCAGAGACATTCTTAGCTTTTTCTTTGTGTTGAAATTCTCGATTTTACTGTTGGGTAAAAATGTTTTCTAGGCAATGCTTGAGACACACTTAGAATCATTTGGGAAAAGTAAAAGAAAATCCAACCCTTGATACACTCAAATCATTTCTTATTTCCCAGCGAAATAAAAGCTAGCATCAAATGTGATTTTCAGTTTGGCCGACTTACCGGGTAACAAGCCTTCCAACTTACAGTCCATGGAGCACCATTCGATCTCTTTATAAAATTTCACAAGTGGACAAAGGGACGGAAATACATTGTGATGCTCGATTTGGGTTTTGACTGTCCTTGGGCACTAAGTCTGCCTTCCCAGTTGGGTTCTGCCTTTTTGCTGGGTTTTCAGTAAGTGAGATTCATTCTGCGGCAGACACTCGTGAAGGCAGAAGGGCAACACTAGATGGCAGGAGTGCACTGCCTAAAATCGGGACTGGCTGAGCCCCACTCGGGCTGTGGAAGCTGGCTGCGAGGGGGTGGGGAAGACGTGCTCTGATTTTTGACTGATCCACTGACCCTTGTGTCCTCCCACCTTCCTCCAACTCTGATTGCAATCCTGGTGCTATTCTCTGATAGCTGTTTGACAGGATGGGTAGCTTTGAGACTGTCCTCTGGACCCTAGCAAGCAAGTCTGCAAGATGACAGGGCAACTTTAGTTTAAAGTGGCCTGAAAATCTTTTTAACTTTCCCAGCACTGTGATCCAGGCAACTCTTTGAAGATGATCCTAAATACGCCTGTGATTGAGATTCTTAACTTCTGTTCTCAATAAGGCATGAGGTCAGCAAGGCTACTTCTACCACACATGTGATTACTCATTCATTTTCTCATTTTCTCTTTGCTTAAATGTGCACAGATTCCCCCAGTTTCCAAAAGCAGAACATTCTTATTTGGTAGGTTATTCTTTTGCCTCTGGGAATGCTGAAAACTTTTAATGTGTACATGTATGGAAATCGCATTTCCAGACTGCAAAAATCCCCTATCACATCATACTAAGTAGTAACTTCTGGGTAATAGAGGAAACCTGGATTTAATTCCTGCCATGGGCTAGGCACTAAGGATACAATGATAAGTAAGACCTATTCAGGCACTGCAAAAAGTCTGTGGATTAGTTATGAGAGCCACATATGCAATGAATAGGCAATTAACACAAATTATAGTTTCTACAATAAAGGAGAATACAGGACATGCTAGCATCACAGGTGAGCTTTCTAGTGGGAGTGATAAGTAAAGGGAAATCTCAAGGATAATTAGGAGTGAGGCAGGCAGAGGCAAGGGAAGAAAATTCCAGGCTAGAGCCTAAACTACAGATAAGAGGAATCTAACCCAACATAGATGGGGAGAGTGCTGAAATGTGGAGTGGGATAGTGACAGTGGATGGGGGGGGGGGTAAGCAAGTAGCTTATTAATAGGGTCTTGTGTATCATGCCAAGGAGTTTACTTTAGCTTCAATTTATCAGTGGGGAGCCATGAAAGTTTATATCAAAGGCTGTGCCCTGATCCTATCTGCTGATCGGTGGATCAGTCAATTAGAACATGAATTTGGGGGTTGTTGAGAGAGGAGCAAGTTAGATAAACATTCCTCAATGTCATTACAAGACAGTGGCAAGGGGATGGAGAGAAGTAAAGGAATGGTTAAAGAGCTATTAGGACAGTAGACAATATATTTGGAGATTTATTATTTACGTAAGGTGAGAGAGTGTTAGGGGGAAAAGGCAGTCCCAAAGCAAATTCCATACAGGCTTTGTGGACTCCACCCCCACCCCAGGTCAAAGCCAAAGACACTGGGAACTCCAAATCCCATCACCACCAAAGGGAAGGTGGCTGGGACCTGAGGGTGGGGTTAAGCAGCCAGGTGGATACAAAAGGCAGACACGTGGGCTTTGGGGCTCTCTCCATTTTGGGGCCCTCGGCCAGCTCGCGGCGTCCGGCCAGCTCTGAGAGTGACTTTGGGGTTTCCAGGTCGTCGGATCGGGTAGGACGCATTAAAGACTTTATTTCCCTATTTTCTCCCTGAGTTGTGCATTTTCCTTATTTCCTTTTCTCTTGTAAATAAACCTTTTATTAACCCTTTGGCGTGTGTCTGTAGTAGAGTATTCATAAGTCCCTTTAAAGCGCGCGGGTGAGGACCCACAGCCAGGAACCCGTTTAATATCGGGGTTGCTCTATAACAAGAGTAATAGACTTAAGAATAATCACTTAACCTTATCTGGGGTAACTTCAGAAATGATGTTGCCCTTAACCAAGTATAGTACTAGGGAGAAAATTAATACTGAATCACGATGATGTGCCAAGAACTTTATTAGACCCTAAATAGCAGGAAACTCTAATTATTTAATATTTGCCCATCCATCATTCAAACAAAATCCATGGATCATCTAGTTTACATCAGGCAACATGCCAGGTCTTGTGTGAAACTTCAGCATAAACAGAAGAGTTGTTTCCCACCTTCAAGAGCTTGGAAAAATTTTACCTTCTTAATATATTCTTCTTTTTGTGTTAATTGCCTCTGCTACACATTTTTGGATTTTGGCTACAACTTGTGCTATTTTCAAAAGTGTTTTTATATAAGTCCCATCATTTCACTTAGACTAAAACCTGCTTGGGGAAGGTCAGCAACCAAGACATTGATGATTTCACACACACACACAAAACGACTTGAAAATTCTGTTTTCTTGTTCTGACTTTTTTTTTTATTTCCTCAGAACTTTTTAATTGAGTATATTTGGTATATAACCTTGTAAAAAATTAAGGGGTATGTTATGTCCTGAATATGTGATTAGGCATTGTATTTACTCCTCTGTAATTTTACCACATTCCTAAACTAGATATAAACATTTGAGGCAACTTTGCAAAATTCTTGTTGAATGCAACATAACTCTAAATTCTCAAAGCCAATTATAGTGGCAGGAAAGGACACAGTGCAGGCTCTCTATGATCCAAGCAGACGGGGTAAAGGGGGAGTCCTGGAGCCCTTGGTGGCTTTTTCAGGGTTTTATTGGGATTTTCCAGGGACACGGAAAAGGCTGGCAGGCCTCCCATCCCCCGGCAAATCTTCCTTCTTCCTGGGCTCTCTGGCTTTCTCTTGTGGCCTCTGCTTCTCCACTCCTTTCGCTCTGCTTTGCTCTTTTCCTGGCATCCCCGTGATGCCACCATTATAAGCTCTCTCAGCCCAAGTGTACCCTCCTACATATGCCCACACCCTACTCCAGCTGCCCGCCATCAGGCATGCATTCAGGACTGCAGGGATCCATCATCAATCCTAATGGCAGGAGGGCAGAAAAGCCTGATACTTTTTAACCTTACCCTACACCAACTTTGTTTTTTTAAAGTTTTTTTTTTTTGCATAGAAGAACTGGGGTGTAGGGCAGAGGTTCCAAGGTGAGAGGATTCACCAGAGACAGAGTGGGGAGCAGAGCAGGTGGATTGACTGAAATACACTGCTGAGAAGAGCAGCGGGCACAGCAGGAGAGGTCTGTTGTGCCATGTGGACTAGCTCCCCGGCTGGGGATCAAACTCAGGCCATAGTAGTGATAGTGCTGAGACTTAACCCCTAGGCCACGAGGGAGGCCCTTAAAGTCACTGTTAATATGTCATTGGGAAATTTTCTATCATTAGTATTATCAGGAGAATTGAAAAAAAAGACAGAAAGAGTAAATATTGGGTTGAGTTTCATCTCAACTCCTTTTCTGATGAAAAGGAGCTTTTTTGCTTAAAAAAGCAAACAAGTAAGCAGGACAGAAATACAGGTGAGTAACTAGGCTCCGAGATGAGCACACTGCACCTGCTATTGCCAGTACCCTTGATATCTAGATGTTACTGGAAATACATGTGCAACAATGGTTCAGGTTTTGAGGTGTTTTATTCATCCATCTAGTTAGATAACCCTCTATGCCCTTACTAAATACTCACTGAGCTCCAATGTCTCTGCATAGGTTGATAGGGGTTAACAAAACAGGCATAGTCCTTCTCACATGCTTAAGACCCAGTGAGAACGACAGACCTTTGATGAGAAAACCATCGCCATCATATATTCCCATAATAATATGACCGTGTCTGAATCCATAGAGATCTGCCTCACTCGTGACAATGCATTTGTGCAGGAAATGTGTACTGAGGCTTATGAAATGGGAAAAACAAACTGTGTCATGAGGACTTGAATGCTTGCCTTGGTCATCATTAAAGAGCTGCATTCATGGTCAAATGAAATAAGCACCTAACGAGAATTGACAGGGAGTCTCCTAAGACTTAGATAGAGCCTCAGCCCCAGAGGTGGCCATCACGCTCGGCTTCATCTCATGCATCAATTCAAATTGATTGGAAGTGGCTGCCAGGAGTGCTACACTGAGCAGGATTTAGTCGGAAAGGGGGGCTGTTTTTTAAATGGTCAATTGCTTAGGAAGTGAAGGTAGTAACCCATGGTGCACATTTGTATACACTTTACTGCACTATGGCTAAATCAATCATATCAACATACTTAAAGAAAGAAGGCATGGAGAAGTTGCAATGGACCATCTAGAAAATTGGGTATCAGACAAGGAACTGCTCCTGCTGAATCCAGAAGACCCTACATTCAGACACCAGACAGGTGATCTGTCAAGAGCTAGTCATATTTGATCAGGTTTTACCTACCATGGAAGCCCTTGAGAATCTACATAACTTTGTTCAAAACTTGTGCTTCAGAAGGCTTTTGGATTCACTGCCAAGTTCATCAATACCACAAAGGAAGAGAGTTGATACTAGTTTGGGGTCATTTGAAAGAAGTCAAATTGTAATTGCAAACCTGAGTACGAGGCCTTGGTTATGGCAAACTCATGTCAAGATCAAGTGCCCCTAAGACTTCCTGTAGGTTGGCCTGGTCTGGTGACTCATGGTGCCTGGACTGTGCTTTCATTGTGACTTTTGAGGAAAACCACATGAAGTTTTTATCAGTGAATCAATTAAATGAATTTGCAAAACTTTTATAACCTATGCAGAAAATTGACAGAACAACCGATTATTATTCAAGAAACTCACAGTTCTATGTTCGAACCAATACAAGCTTTAAAAACAAACACATGTAACAATTAAAACATATAAGAATTCAATTTTGATGATTTTTGTTACTATTCACTTTCTCCTCTCCCTGGCACCTTCTCCTGATCTTCTTGCAAGTTCTGCAGAAATCTTTGTTTTTGAATGTATTTAAATGCAAATTTTAAGTTTACCCACACATTCTGTTAATGATGTGAAAGTTCTAATGTATTTTATTTCTCACTTACAAGATGAAGCAAAATGCAAATTTGAGAACATGAGGGAGTTTTCCTTCTGCCTTTTTAAATACCTCTAACAACAATCCTTTATATTGAAATATACACAAAAGTGCCTAATATCAGTTGCTGCTTGGCCTTGGCAGTCAGCACTGTATTTCTTGCAAATGAATATCTCAGGATTGATTCACAGGAACTCTTTGCCACATAAAAGTGCAGGAAATCTAACTTCTCCAAGGAAAAGAAAGACTTGAAAATATTATAGGCTCAATAAAACACTGATGTTCCAATGGCTCAGGAATCTGAGAAGTTCATTTGGAAATAATGCTAGAATGGAGTAAGGACAGGAAGAGAAGGCAGGTAAAGGTAGAGGTAAATCCTAGACAGTCTGAACTTCAGCTGTGACTGTGGTGATTGGGTCAGGTATTATGGAATATTTGACGGGTAAAGATCTAAACTTTAATCATCAGGATAATAACTGACTCAAAGTGTTAAGATTCTCAAAGCACTAACCAACTTACACAAAATATTTTAAGACCTGTGACAGGTTATTTACTAGACAGACTTCTCCCATCACAATAGGCAAGCAGTGAGATTTGTTACTTTTCTCATTAAGAGGCAGAGTCACATTGACTCTGGGCTTGAAAATGGCTAAAGGTATTTGTGACCCTTATCAGTTTCATTGGAATTTTTTTCATTTTCTGAAATCACAAGTGCTTGAAAAAATTCTCTTATTCATCTTAACTTTTGGAATTGTAGAAGTGTCTACTATAGTCCCTGTGTTTTTATGTCCCTCAGACATTTATGGACTACTCTGTTCCAATTAAAGCATCATCTATCAACTGAAATTTGTTAAGTACTAACCTCCATATTAGGCTCTGTGGAGTACATACAAATCAATATAGAGAGGCAGAGCCACAGCTCTCCATGAAGTTCAATAAAATTCAGTTCAACAGGCCTTCCCTGGTGGCGCAGCGGTTGAGCACTGGGCTGCAAAGCTGTCCACAGTCTCTTCAGCACCAGTTTGATCCCTGGCCACCAGCGAGGGTCCCACATGGCGTGCAGACCTCTCCTGCAGCCCACTGCTCCCCTCAGCAGTATATTTCTTTGTCAGTCTGCCTGTTTTGTTCCCCTCTCTGGCTCTGGTGAATTCTCTCACCCTCCCGCGCTTCTGACTGTACCCGGTGCTTGTATAAATAAATAATCTTAAAAAAAAAATTCAAATGTGAGGGGAGCAGCAGGCAAGCAAGGAGAGGTCTGCTGCCATGTGCGTAAGCTCCCTGGCCAGGGATTGAACTTGTGCTGCAGTGGCTGTGGATAGCTTCATAGTGCTGTGTCTTAACCTCTTGTGCCACCAGGGAGGCCCATGCTGAGCTAAGATTTTAAACCAGTTCTATCCACGTCTCTAACTCAAGGCCAGCCTGCTCCTCTCAGATGTACTCTGTGCCCCATCAGCAGATCAGACCCAAATCTTTCCTGGGTTTTCATGATTCTGGCAGGTAGATTTATACCAATACAATATTTTAACACTGAAAATAATATTAATACCCAACATTAATTAAGCACTCACTAGAAACTAGGTCTATTAACAGGGAGATTATATATATTATCATCCAAACAGGGACATCTTTACAAAAAATAACCTAAATACCCAAAAACAGATGAGTGGATCAAGAAAATGTGGTATATATACACAATGGAATACTATTCAGCAATCAAAAAAGAT